GGCTGCTGATGCCAAAGAAAAGAAAATTAGCTCTTTCTGTCTAAGCCTCAGATCCTTCAAACGATTCTGCTTTGCTTGGGTTCTGTTTCTGCCTTTTTATTTACCCTGGTTTCTGAAGGGATGAGGTATCTGATTGGACAGCCTGAGTCACATGACCACTCCTGTCTCCAGGAAGGTAGGCTGCATTTGCCAGTCCCACCAAGTCACCTAGGGAAGGAAAAGGCAGTTTCCAAATAAAAAACATACTAAGCAGACAAAAAAAAAAAAAAGAACACATGCCCACTATAAAGGAATGATTTAGGAAAACGGTCCAGGATACATGGAAAAGGGCAAATAAACAAATATAGTGAAAAAAGAAGGAAGAGATCAAGAAGTAATACTTCTGGATGTTCCTGAGAAAGAAACCAGAATCACTATTTGCAGGTGAGGTTACATACTGTTAAATGTACAGAATTAGATTATCTTGGGCACTAGATAAATGTACAGAAATGACAATTATATGATAATTATTATATAGGCTTGTGTAGGACCTACAGAAGAAAATGATGAAACTTTATTGAAAGATTTCATTGAGCTTCATTGGAAGATTTAAATGGAGAATTATAGCATTTTTGCCTTCAAAAGACTGACGTATTGTTGAGATAAGATACTACTTTTCCCTAAATCATTTTATAGGTTTAATGAAGTCCCAATTAAAAAATCCATTCTTTTTCCTTTGTGGAATTTGCTAAAGTTATTTTAATGTCTTAGTGAGAATAAATAGTTAAAAATTAAGAAAAATTTGAAATAGACCAGTAGTAAGAGACCTTGGTTTAACAGATATTATGGTTGTTTAAAAAAATTCACAGTCCTACATTTAAGAAATGCATGAAAGAACAGTGCATGTTAAGTCCTTAGCATTGTTATTGTTAGTTGTTGTTGAGTTGATTCCAACTCATGAAGACACCGTCTGTGCAGAGTAGAATTGCTCCATAGAATTTTCAAGGCTGTGACCTTTTGGAAACAGATCGCCAGGCCTGTCTTCCAAGTGCCTCTGGGTAGGTTTGAACTGCCAACCTTTCTGCTAGTAGTTGAGCACTTAATCCTTTGTGCCACCTAGGCTACCCTCCTTAGCTTGGTAAACAAACAAAAAGATAGAACTGGCCCGTAGGGTTTCCAAGGCTGGATCTTTATGGAATGAGACTGCCACATCTTTCTCCCATGGAATGGTTGAACCACCAACCTTTCTGTTAGCAGTCAAGTGCTTAACCACTGCACCACCAGGGCCCCTTCTTCGCTTGGTGCCTGGTATATAATAAATGGTCTAAAATGGAGGCCATTCCTACTACTACATACTACTACTTCTTCAGGCTTCTTTGCTATGCTCTGAGGACACAGTAGGGAGGAAAATGTTAAATCAGGTAACAATCCAACATTGACCCTCAAGCTTGTACCCATCCTGGGTTGATGATTTTCAGGAATCTTTTCTCTCTCTCACCTTATTCAAAACAATATTATATTGGACATTATATTGTCATAAGAAGATTATCTGAAGACTAGAGGCCAACCCACTATTCCAGTAGAGTTGGAAATTAAGACCTGAATTTATTCAGGAATTAAGAAACTTTTTTTTCTGTTTTATTCTTTGACCTCCCACTGACAAACCTCTATTCTGCTCTGTCACGTGTTCATTCTCCCAGGGTTCTGACAGGCTTCAGAATGGAGCAGATATATATTGCAGGCATTTAAGAAATGTCAGGTGAGCTTCAAACCTAAGCAGTGGATTAGGTGTTAGAAGATAAGTAGTCTACTCAGGGAGCCATGTTGCCATAACTTGTGTGTTCAGTCATCCTTGCAGGCTGTGAACATCAGGAACTTGTTACTCTTGAACGTCCCCCAGTGTTAGCCACCTTTCCTGCAGAATATCCCCAGGCAGTGATATTCTAGACCATCTGACTAGTAACCAGGCTCCCCGTGCTTTTCTCCTGTGTGGCTCCGCGGTGTCCTCTTGTTTGAATTTGCACCTCACGTCAATCTTAATATTTGTTTTGAGTCACATGTGCTGGCCTCTAATTTGCAATTTACATGGATGATGGGGCCCTATTCAATGTCGTACTCCTGCCGCCTTTGTGCTGTTCACCTCTCTTCACACAGTCATTAGGCTGAACAGCATATAATTAGGTAACCCATGTAAAGTGTAGATTTCTGAAAGGTTGCTGTTCTTTTCAAAAAGTTAAGGGTCTCCATTTTTCCCCTCATTTTTTTCTAAACAAAAAGACAGGCCCCTCTATGGTTTTTATATGAATGTAGTAACTTAGGAACAGTCTGTAGATGGGGAATAATTTTGGTTTGTTTTCACCTGAGAGCCAGTTTTTGTTTACACAGCATGTATTTAACTCATTGTAGGCTGAGGTTGATCGGCCGTCATTTGCGGCTGAGTGTCTTGCTTTTTGAAACCAATGAAATTGGCCTATTTTAATCGCTAAACATTTAAAATTCATTGAACAAAATAACTCAGGTTTCAGCTCATTTTTAAGTTTCTTTTGCTACTTGTGTGCACAAAACCTACCTGACGTTACTTTTTAAGGTAAAGCTTATAAAAATATAAATACTGTCAAAATTGTGTTTAAGCTGTGTTCACTTGGACAGATTTTTGATTATAAATGTAGTTTAAAAAATAACCTTGGTGGTGAGGCAAATGCAAGCTGTTAAAAGAGTAACTAGAAGTATATGCAAATGTTTCATTGAAATAAAATAATATAATGCATAGGGAGCCTATAGAGATATTAATATCATTTCTTGCATCTGATACTAGTTTTGAAAAAAGTAAGAAAGAACTGCAAGTTTGAAAGGAAAATAACAAGCAATATGAGTATTATCTAGAAAAGTGGCTTATAGCAGTAAACTGGGAAGATCATTAGAATGCAGATTCTTGGGCCCCATTCAGAGAAATTCTGTTATAGATGGTCAGAGATGGACCTCAGGAATCTAAATTTCTGATAAGTACCCCCTGATGATACTGTTGCAGAAAGTTTGCATCAATGTTAGAAATACTTGTTTTTGTTCAAAAGGTGCATTTTGTGCAAATGTCCTGTCATACGTTTCTGTGTTCTACCTTTCTATGCTTTGAAAAGTGAAGCCAGGTTTTTTTTTTTTTTTTTCAATTGTTGTAAAATATATATAATAAAACATACGCCAATTCAACATTATTCACATGTATAATACAGTGAAGGAACCCTGGTGGCTCAGTGGTTAAGCACTGGGCTGCTAACCAGAAGGTCAGCAGTTCAAACCCACTAGGCACTCTGCAGAAGAAAGATGTGACAGTCTGCTTCCGTAAAGATTTATAGCCGTGGAAACCCTCTGGGACAGTTCTACTCTATCTTGTAGGGTTGCTATGAGTCAGAATTGACTCTATGGCAACGGATTTTTTTTTAATAATTCAGTGACATTGATTACATTCATCATGCTGTGAAGCCAGGTTTTTAAAATGACCATTTCTACACACTTTACATTATAACTGTAATAGAATAGAATATAATGGACAAGTTGGCCAAGCCCCTGGTGATATTGCCAAATAAAATTACATCTGGAAAATAGCTAGTTATTACCTCAGTTCATGACTCATCTCAGGCAGTAGAGAAGAAGTGGACAGATAGACTGATGAGATATTGACCATTGGACGGTATACCAATTCACTTCTGGTCTCTTTTCCCACTTACCACTCAAATTACTCTAAATAACCATTGTGATCTAAAGTACATTTGGCAAATTTTGTATGTATTTTTCTCTTTAAACCTTCGTTTGCTACACTTTGGTTTGATTATGCCTAACATGAATTCAGGGGAAGAATGTTCCCTAATGTAATTGTTTTTATTTTGGGAGAATCAAGTCCTTCCAAAAACTATCAGTATTCATGACTAGGCCTCCTAGAGGTGGCCATTTGAATAGTCCAGTCAGAAAAGGGAAAAGGGTGTGGTTGAGAGGGTGATAGGTGGAGCGTTGTAGCACATTACTCCCTGCCTCTTAGGAAGTAATTTTCTATATTTGTGCACTGGGACTTACTCTACATTCAGTGAGGATGGAGAATGTGTGATGACAAAGCTGAAGTCCTAGATGAAGATATTTTGTATGTGATATATACACTTATATGAAAGACGTGTATGAAGGTGGTATATGTAAAAGCCTTTAAGATTGGTTTTGTGCTGAGGTCTTGGCCTTATGTTGTATAAATTCAGTTTAAATGTAATAATGTTGGTAAGTCTTAGGTGTAGTACAGAGAGTTAACATATCTATCCAAATAATGTTGTGCGTAAAAGCTTAAAAAAAAGCAACTTAAAATCACTGTGCTCTCTAATCGATGATCATGGCAAGGATAAATCATTTTATGGACATTAAGGGTAGTAGCTATTTGATATTACTAATTTCTTTTCTTTCTTTTTTAAAATCAAAACTGTCTCTTTGATCAGATTTCTTATCGAAAAGATGTGCAGGACACACACACGTATAGCGTGGAACTTGAAAGACCAGATATCAAGATGGCAACCCAGCTATCCAAGATCATAAGCAATGTAATTTCTCTTTCCTAATCTTAAATTAAGAACTACGGCTGCTAACCAAAAGGCTGGCAGTTTGAATCCACCAGCCACTCCATGGAAATCCCATGGGGCAGTTCTACTCTGTCCTATAGGGTCGCTATGAGTCGGGATCGACTCGATGGCCGTGGGTTTTTTTTTTTTTTTGATTTGAATAGAAAAGATTTCTTATTTTTGCACGATGCAAAATGGGGCTTTGGTAGTTGGATGGTTATTTTAATTAGTTTGATTAATCTGAATTAATGACATCTCAGTTTTTTATCTAAATTATCTATTTGGCTATGTAAATTATTCATGTAGAAATTCCCCAAACTCGACTATGGTTAATGTTATACTTTTGGAGAAATAAGTATGCTTCAGGTATAAAATCATAGTCAAGGTTGTCGGTCATCTGGCCCCATCATTATCTCTCACCTCACCCTGTCCCAAAGAACTTCACTTATTTTTATCTTGTTACTGTTAATTGTGCAGATTCTCTTTCACCACCACTTACCCTTGTACATTTCTTTCAAGTCATGACTTGCCTTTATCCTAAGACACCCTTGTTAATTAATACTGCTTTACTTAAACATAAAGGAGCCCTGGTGGTACAACAGTTAAGTGTTTTGTTGCTAACTAACTGAAAGGTTGGTGGGTTAAACCCACCCACCAGCTCTGCGGGAGAAAGACCTGGCGATTTGCTCTCCTAAAGATTACAGCCTAGACAACCCTATGGTGCTGTTAGACTCTGTCCCCAGAGGTTGCTGTGAGTCGAAATTGACTCAATGGCACCTAACAACAACAAATTAAACGTAACTAAACCTGTTGCCATCGAGTCGATTCTGACTCATAATGACCCTATAGGACAGAGTAGAACTGCCCCATAGGGTTTCCAAGGAGCAGCTGGTGGATTCCAACTGCTGACTTTTTGGTTAGCAGCCAAGCTCTTAACCACTGTGCCACCAAGGCTCTGGTTAAAAATGAAAATCTAATTTGAACCAATTGTTTGAATCACATAGGCTAAACTCACCTTAAAAATTATTATTTTACTAAACTCAACTGCAGATTAACCAAACATGGTCAGAGCAGTTCCTAGGAATAAGCTATCTATATGCAGACTACTGGGTCTCAATTATCCAGACAGTTCCCATATTTTTGCACAGTATTTATATATAAATATAAAAAGGATAATGACTGGGCACATCAACTCAAAATTAGTAATTATTTTATTGTAAAATGTTTAATTCTTTTAACTATCCACACTATAATTACTGCTTTTAGTAGTCAGTATTTGTTCAGTATTTCTTAAGTTGTAAGGAATATTTTTTGGGGGGTTGAGGGTTTATTATACTTTATTTTGGCTAATGCCAATGTAATTTTTCATTGGAAAGTAGAAATACTCAACATTCTTTTATTTATTCATTTTAGGCAGAATACAAGAAAGGACAAGGAGAAATGAATAAGGAGCCTGCTGTAATTGGAAGACCAGATTTTGAACATGCTGTAGAAGCTTCTAAACTTTCTAGTCAAGTAAGACTGTAGTGGTGATTCCATAATGACTTTATTCAGAGATTTTATTTTAGAAGCATAGGAAAATAGTATTTCATTTTAGATAGTATCTTTAATTGTAAAAAAAAAAAAAAAAGGCAAAGATACTATTTCTGAAACCATTTCAGATAGGATTGATTTCACTAAGGGAAAAAAAGTGTAATTTTAAGCGTACGACAAAGTTTTCTTTTCTCCAGTCCTGAATTTTAAACTTTTTCAATGAGTTTAGTCATATTGTCACATTTCCCAGGGTTTCTAGAATTCAGCAATAGTCATACCAAATAATTGTGTTTCTATTATCTATTTTCCACACACATAAGTATTCACTCATACACACATATATAATTTTAAACTTAGTAATAAAAATACCAATTTTCTTGAGTTTTAAATGCTTTATTTAATCACAAAATAAAATTGGGGTGATGTAAATGAAGAAAACTTTAAAATATTAACAATAACATAAAACAAGATCTGGAAAAAAATTAAAAAAACTTGCTATGTTTTTGGCTGAGAGTCTCCATGGCATAAACATCTCAATTATCCCAAAATTAATATACTAATGTCATGCAATTTCAATTAGAAACCACAGGTTTTTTTTTAATATGGATAAAATGATCTTAGAGTTTGTATGTATAGGAAATGCCTGAGAATAGCCTTTAAAAGTATGAAAATGAAGACCAGTGAAGGGGAACTTAAGTTCCCAGTTACTGTAACGTAATATAAAACTGCTGAAATTAAATCAATATGAAATTGGTATAGTGAGAGATAAAATGATCAGTAGGATGGAATAGGGAATCCTGAGATAGATTCCAATATGCATAAGAATTTAATATATGATAAAAGTGTTGGTTCAGATCATGGAGAAACAGTTGGATTATTTAATAAATGGTGCTGACATAACTGGCCATCCATCACGGTAAAAGTAAAATTGGACCCAAATCTTAAACGATGTACAAAAATGTATTCCAGATGGACTAAAGACTTGAACATAAACAATAAAATAATTTTAAAATCTTAAAATCCAGAAGACTATCTATGCTGTACAGGGACAGCAGAGTTTTTCTTAAACAATACCAGAGACCAGGAAGCTGTAAAAGACTAGGTAGGCATATTTTACTATATAAAAATTAAAAACTCTTTCAATGGAAAAAGATAACATTTATAAAGTCAATAAAATGAGATCAAAGAATAGTTCTTATATACTGGTAGTGTTTTCAACTTGGAAAATATCCATTCCTTAAGTTGCAAAAGTTAATTGAATTACATTTTAAAATGGAGAGATGAAAACTATGAAATCTTACTGGAGAACATCAAATGAGATCTGAACAAATAAGAAGACATACTATGCTCTTGGCTGGGGAGTCTTACTATCATAAAAATGTTAATTTTTCCAAAATTAATTTAAAAAAATTCCATGTATTTTCAATTAGAATCCAAACATGCTTTCAAAACTTAGAATAAAATTAAATATTTGAATAAATTAAACAAAGTTTACATGGAAAAAGAAGTGTCTAAGACTAGTGTTTTAAAATATAAAAAATGAAAAGCAGTCTTCATATATTTGGGAAATGTTTGTAGTGTGTATGATGAGAAGGTTTTAATAATATACAAAAGCTTTTTAAAGTTAAAAAAGGCTAACATGGGCAAATAAGATGAATAGATGATTCACAGAAGAGCAAATCTAAATAGCCAATACACATATAAAGATACTCAAATTTACTAGCAGGAAGGGCAATGTCGGTAAAGTAAAAGCAAAATATCATCTACACTCATCACATTCTGTGTCCTGTTAGTGTGGGAAGACAAGGAAAACAGCAAGGGTTGTGTAGTTAGAAAGATTTTGTGCAGGAGGGAGATTTGAGCTACTAGCTTGGATTTAAAGGGAGAGAAAACTCTGCTCAAGGGGAAGACCCTGAATAAAGATTGGGAATAACAGAGGAGGAGAGAGGCTGGACAGCAGAGTCTCTGTGCCAGTGGAAATGGATCATAAACAGGAACTTGGGAGGAGTTTTTATGCTGTGTGATAATAAATGGGTCAGTGTTGTATTGATTTTGACTATGGGCCATTACTTATAGAGCCAAGCAGGAACAATGTGTTCTATAAAAGAAGTAGTAGGAAGCCTCATGCATTGCTGGTGGGATGGTACAGTTGCTGTGGAAAACAGTTTGGCTATTCCTCATGAAGTTAAACATAGAATTACCATATGATCCAGCAATTTCACTCCTAGGTATAAACCCAAAATAATTGAAAGCAGGAATGCAAATAGATACTTTTACAGCAATATTCATTACAGCACTATTAATAATAATAAAAAGGTAGAAACAACCTAAATGTCCATCAACAGATGAATGGATAAACAAAATATGGTATATACATACAGTGGAGTATTACTCTGCCATAAAGAGAAATGAAGTCTTGATACATGCTGGGTAGAATAAGTTCATCACAAAAGGACAAGTATTATATGATCCCACTTAAATGAAATATCTAGAATACGTAAGTGTATAGAGACCAAAGTTTATTAGTGGTTACCAGGGGAGAGAGGAAAAGGGGAAAGAAGCAGTCATTGCTTAGGGAACACTGAGTTTCTGTTAAGGGTGATGGAAAAATTTGGAAATGGGTAGTGGTGGTGGCTGAACAGCAAGATGAATGTGATTAATGTCACTGAATTGTACATGTAAAAAAGTTTTCTAGTCAACATTTAAGATGAATTCATGCACAGAGTGGAGCAGGAACAGTTAACACTGGCTCTTAGATTCATCCATCACAGTCCTATTTGAGAATCCTTAGAAGAAAGTTTTGATACTTGACTTTTCTTTCTTTTTTTTCCTTCGTATTTCAAATTCAGTCACCAGAATCCTACATGAGCTTTTAGGCAGAAATTTGTTTTACAATCTCAAATTACTTAGCAACTGAACGATCAGATGCTCAAGCAGATTGTAATTTGCCAGTTAGGTTATATCTATAATTTTTTTTAGTGGCATGCTTCCTGATCTCACAGTGTATAAACTCATCAGAAAAGAGGAAAACTGGACCAATGAATGAATAGGGCTTCTCGAACAAACTCGGTGTGTTCCATTTGTATTTTCAGGTGTACTAACTAGAAGCCAGGGCAGAAAGCGTAGTTTTTTAATTTTCATTCACGGCTTTGAAAATCATGTATTCTCTTGCTCCTAAACCAATGATAGACTGTGACTACAGGCACACTCAAAGGCAAATAAATACATAGAAGAAAAATGATTTAAGAATACAATAAACATGAAAACTTGGGGGCAGGATGCAGGGAGAAAAGAGTAGGATAGCACCAGACAAATGAAGAGAGGAGGCAATGACAAGGCAGTGATCACAGTATGCGGTGATGAGAGGCCTGAAGAAAAGACAGGATGAGAGAGCAAGTGTACAGAATTCTTACATTTTACCTGTAAACTGAGCTTTGTGGGATTGTGTAGGTAATGGAAACACATACCAAACCCTTCTTAGGTCAAATTGTATAATAGCTTTATTCCCATAATTGTAACTTTCCCTTTTTAAAATATGGGAGGTATAGAAAGTTATGGTCAGGTAATTAAAAAAATTTAATAAAAAATAAAATCTCACGTGTTGAGATAGAGATTGGTGTATTTAATATATCTCAAGTGTAAGTACAGTAACTGTGGAAGTCATCAGCTTAAAAGCCTTCTAAGAGTGGTTAGTTGGTTAATGTATTCATATCATCTTAGTTTATATTACTTGGAATTTTCCTACATTAGTGATGAATAGAATTCTTTGTTTAGTTTTAAATACTGAGGGAAACAAATATGTTTATAATAATTAGTATTTCCTAAAATTGCATTTGCTGTATTGATAAGAATGAGTTTTAAACTTAAAAACTGCATTTAAATTGCAGTAAAATTTTAATAATAAACATAGTCCTTAAATTGTAAGGAGTATTAACTGGTTTGAAGAATCTCCCTTTCTCCTGTCCTGGCAAGCATTCCTTCTGCCAGCCTTCTCATACCCAAGTATCAGCTTAAATATCACATCCCTGAACTGCCAATTTAAATCGTGTCTCTTTTCTCCCCTTTATCTCTGTTCTTTTTCTTTATAGTTCTTAACACAATTTGTAGTAGTCATATATATGCACATGTGTGTGTCTTGGATATCTACGTCACTAACCACACTGCATGCTCCATGGGGACAGGGCTTATATGTGTTTAATCTCTGTAGAATGGCAGAGATTAGGCCTTCAACAAATATCTATATATCCACATATTTGTATATATATGTTGTTGTTGTTAGATGCTATCGAGTCAGTTCCAACTCATGGTGACCCTGTGCACAACAGAACAAGACACTGCCCTGTCCTGCCCCATCCTCAGTATCATTGCTGTGTTTGAGCCCATTGTTGCAGCCTCCATGTCATTTCATCTCGTTGAGGGTTTTCCTCTTTTTTGCTGACCCTTTCCTTTACCAAGCATGATGTCTTTCTCCAGGGACTAATCGTTCCTGATAACATGTCCAAAGTATGTGAGACGAAGTCTCTTCATCCTTGCTACTAAGAGCCTTCTGGCTGTACTTCTTCCAAGGCAGATTTGTTGGTTTTTCTGGCAGTCCATGGTATATTCAATATTCTTCACTAACACCGTAATTCAAATTCATCAGTTCTTCTTTGGTCTTCCTTATTCATTGTCCAGCTTTTGCATGCACATGAGGTGATTGAAAATATCATGGCTTGGGTCAGGCACACCTTAGTCCTCAGAGTGACATCTTTGCATTTTAACACTTTAAAGAGGTCTAGAGAGAGAGAGAGATTCAGCAAACCTTCTCTAAATCATTGTTTAACATTTGGTACAAAGTCAGTAAGATGGTATTTTGTTATAAAGATAAGGGCAGAGATACTGTTCTGTGTAAAATTTGGACTTTAAAAATTAGAGTTTATGCTGAATTCTAAATTTAAAAAAATCTTTATACTTTCTTGACAGCTTTTAATTCAGTTTCATCT